CCTCCTGTCTTTGGGGGGACCTTTTTGAGAAAGTGATAGACTACTTGAGTATTCTGTCCTGGACTCTGGAAGCTCTGTCAACATGAAGAACTAAGTTGAGTGCTCCAGGCACTTTTTCACAGATGACTTTCTACACTAGCCTATGCAGCATCCCAGAGAGGACGTCTCAATCTTAGTTTGAGAACTCAGGACAATACCTGAGAAAGACAGCACAGTGTAATAGCCATCAACCACCAAGTATGCCAACAATAAGCAAGATTTTCAAGGGAGAAATTATGGTCTTTGGGCACAGCCAGCAAGCCTGAGCTCTCTGAGGACATATCATCTTCACCTGGTGTCAAATGGCCCTAGGACAATTGTTTCAAAATGTACCTAGTTTTTGTATTAAGTATGGTTAAAGAAATGCAGACACAAAAATGACCATGATGAAAGAAGAAGTTTAATAATCATGGATCCCTAGAAACAAAGCCCAGATGGTAGACACAGATGGAGAGAAGGGGAAAAGTGGGCACAAGTCTTCATTGTATTTTTGAGGGGAGTTAGCCAGGGCAGGGTGGGTATGTTTAGGATTGGCTAGTCTGATTAATATCAGCAAGCTAAGTGAGAAAAGGGACTGCCCAAGTTGTCCCTTATTGAGCATCCCATGTCACCTTCTGTATACCAGGGCTGGTACCAGATGACTTCCAAGCTTCTTATACACCAAACCAGAAATCAGAAAATCAGGGAGCAATAATAAGTAGGGTGATCATGGTACATCTCTCTCTAACAGGCTAAGGAGGCACAGCAGTGTGCATTAGGATATAGGCGTAAAGAGTGCTCTGTGTTAAGAAAATAGGCCCTGCACAAAGACTGTGAGGAGGAAGGCCTACTTGACATGTTCAAAGCTGCAAGGAAGCCAGTACAGCAGGAGCACAGCAAACAAGGGAGAGTTTTGAGACAGGAATTAGGAAAAGTGGCAGGAGCTGGATCCTATAAGGCATTGTGGCAGCTATAAGGGCTTTGGCTTTTTCTTTAAGTGAGATGGAAAGTGGTTAAAGGATATTGAGCAATGAGTGGTTGAATGGTACTGACCCAATGGGCTGCCATGTTGAGGACAGATCATGGGAGAGCAAGTGAGAGACAGGGAGGACTACGAGGAAGCTACTGTAGCTATCCAGGGCACAGGGATGGTGGTGCACACCACCACCATGTTGGTAGTCAGAAGTGAATCAATTTGGGGTATATTTTAGAGAAAGAACCAACAGAATTTGTGAGTCAACCATATTCCAAGAATTTTAGGGAGAGCTCCTGGGTGAGCAACCATTGAAAAGGAGCAGATGTGTGGAGATGGGAAAAAAAGAAAAGAGTTCTCTTTGGAGTATGGAATAACCTCTTAGTAGTACTGAATTCTCGGTCCCTAAAGACCTAAAATATTTTGTACAATGAGATAGAGAAAGTAAAAGCTCAAAATCAGATAGTCACAGGTGGACCGACAAATGAGGGAGAAAGGAAAGTAAGGCTTAGATGTTGTTTCTTTAGGACTTTTTGAGAGAATTCATGCTTATGGTAGAAAAATGAACCAGATCTCAGAAATCATGTGATTCTAAACCTATGTTCAAAAATCAGTAGTAACTTATATCTGTTGATATAGCTGTATAGAAGGTGTTTGAGTATCACTTTAGAATACAAAAAGATGTCACAAATTCAGCCCCACAACAATAGTTTCATAATTTTAGGATCATTTGATGACCAAAGAATATACTAAGGAATAGTAACAGTGCAATTCTTTTCTAAATGATTTTGTATTTATTTAAGTGAATCTCTATTCACTGAAAAATGTGCTTTATATTTAGGAAATTTCTTACCTTATAATCATAATGTTTGATGCCTTGATAAGTTCATCAACTCCTTCAACATCTCTCCCAACATTTAGTTTTAGTTTTTGTTTTCAGTCCAAAGACTTTTAATTTGCTTTATGATAAATGAATGCTTGTCACAAAAAAGATCTTAAGATAAAAGGAGTTCTAGGGGAAATTAATTAAAAATTAGCCAAAGCAAACACCTTCTGTACAGCTAATATCGACAGATATAAGGAAACTGTGTGTGGCTAGATGAGTTTTAGAAAACACATCTGTCCTCCAGAAATAAGTCTTCACCTAACTTAGCCAAAATATTTATTTGCCATTGTGAAATGCTATGTTGAAGTGGAATTCCTATAGATCAAGTCTTGACGGAGATTCTGGGATCTGTTCTTGTGCAATGGGAAAGCAGAGAAAACTATAAAGGGACATGTATCATGGGCTGGTAGGTTATTTGACTATGTTCTGACTCCTTTGCTTCTTTAAAAGACTTGTATGTTCCTCTGTGTACAAAATAGGCCATCCCTCCATGCTCTTCTTTTCATCTCCTTCCAGCGTGGCATTTAAGTTCTTCAGAAAACATTCCTTGGTGGATTCACCTCTTTCTATTCTTAACATTCGACATTTTCTCAGCATACTTTTCTAAAGTCCTTACTATTGGCCCAAACTGTACTAGACAAAAGGGATAGAAAACCATTAGGACATCATTCTAACAAGGTTCTCAAAAAAACCAGTAGTCAGTTTCATTTATTCATTTACTTACTTGCAGTGAACACCTACTATCACTATGCTACTAGAGACACAGGAATGGATGTACACCCTCCCATCAAGGAGTCCACAGCCTATCCAGGAAGAGACACGTACACGCAGGCATATAGTAGAACCCAAAGCTGCTGGGCAGGATGCCTACACATGGCCCTGGGGCATAGGAGGGTATAGGGGTTTCTTTCCATCTGAAATGTTGAGGTCTGGAAGGGTTTCCTGCAGAATTTCTGGGTTGCATCTTTAAGCAAAGGAGGTCATTGGCAAGTGATTGAAACAGAAGTATCTACAATGAAACTTCCAAACACAATTATGCCATTAACCAAAGTAGGGAGCTTGGGAGCTTATACAAATTTCACAAGAAAGATGATGAGTTCAAGCTAGGTAAGTACTTTCAAAATAAGCATTATAGAGTTGAGTGCTCTGGATGGGCCAAACGCTCTATTCAGCAGCTGCTCCGTAACAGCAGGTATTCCGGGAGACAGAAAGTAAAGGACCAAGGAATACTTACACAGGATTCTGTTCAGTAGTGAAAGCTGAAATGACCCATCCACGTAGACGGAAGCATCTGCAGAGGGTGGACAGGCAAATGGTGACATCTTGGCCAGACCACATGCCTATGAGTCAGCCTCCCTTTGTCAGGGGCCTTTTGACATGAGAGGAGAGAATGAAAATTCCAAGGAAGAAGGCAGAATGAGAGCATAGAGGTTTGGGGAACAGCACCATGTAAACAAATGATCATAACATACTGTGGAAATGCCAGCGTTGATAGCCATACTGAAATTGCTATGGAGACTTTGAGCAAAGGTTACTGACAAGTCATTAACCAGCCAAAGCTTCACCAGGGAGGAAATGTGTGCGCAGATGAGTCAAAGTCTTCTGGGGACAGAAGAAGTCAAGGGGAATCCAGGATCGAACCACTTATGCGGGAGACAGCATGGTGGGGGAGGGCCTGGCAGGGAGAGATACACAGGGGCTTTGACATGGTGAATGTAGGTAGTGTGTGAGCAGGTGCCTGGGGCAAATGGAACTGAACTGCAGGCGAATCCACAAGACCCTGTCCAGAAACGGGTGGGCAAGCTTCTGCCACTGCACAGGCTTTGTGTCTAAGTTTTATGACTTTGCCTTTTCTTTTCTCGCTTCCTCTGTTGCCTCCCTATTGATCTTCAGGGCCCCTCGTGGGCAAGGGTTTTTGCTTTCTGTTTTAGTCCCCACTCTCTTTCCCTCTTGCCTTACATCACCCCCTTGCTCAGTTGGATTTCAGAGGCTGATTTCAAAAATAATTTAAAGAAATAATATTTCTCAGATCCGAGGAGACTCAGACTTGGAATTCCTGGGAGAAATGACCAAAGACGAGTAGCTGATTTTTATGATATTTGGGTGGGATTTATTTAGATAAGGAACACTTTTGTTTGAGTAAGCAGTCGGACAGTTGCTGATGGTGGAAGAGAAGTCTTGGCTTCAATGTCCTTCTAAACCAGAACAAATCAACTAGCACATGTAGAGACCTAGTGAAAGTCAGTGGTATTTAAGGGTTAAGTTTGACTGGAAATCTGATCCAGGATCCATGTGTGAGTGTGTGTGTGCAAGCAAGCGTGAGTGAGCCTCCCTATGAGTCTGACATGTCCAGGGGGGGATGCAGATGGTGATGCCATAGCCAAAGAAATACAGGGCACATTTTTCACATTTAAAGTTTTAATCACTAATACAAAAGAAGGCTGAGCCAGGCCAAGTTTTACCCCATAAAGCATTTACTCTCACTTTAACACAGACATTCAGAATAATTCAAAACAAGGCTCCTAAAGCTGGAATTGTGGATCCTACAGAGAAACTCTGATGCTCCCCCAGCGGCATCTCTGCTTCCTAATAATGTTCTCCCTGTGGATGTTTATCAGTCACCAAATCTTGCCGTGCTCTCCGTGGAAAAAGACACTGGGTGAGTTTGCACCATTTGGTTGTTTTGTGCCAAAGACAGAACCCTCTGTCACTCTGCTAAGCAAGCAGAACATATCACAGCTGCTAAGTGGTTCAACACCCCCACCCTGCTGTCAACTCCTATTTCCTTTTTTTCCCCCCACAAACATTTGCCTTAAATTTGTAACATTCAGGAAATTACTCAGTTCCAGGCAAGTTTTACAGGTAAAGAAATTGAGACGAAGACAAATAAAAGGAATTACTCAAGATCAGAATCAGTTGATGGCCGACAGGATAGAACCCGGTAGCCTCATCCCAAGACATTTCTCTATTTTTTTCTTAATATTTCTTTTAAATTGACACATAGTAACTGTAAGGATTATGGGATACAATGTGGTGATTTGATGTATGTATATATATTGTGCTATGATTAGGTCAGACTAACAAATACATCACCTCATAGAATTTGCTGTATGTGGTGAAAACATTTGAAAACACTGGGCAGAATATATCCTGAAGTTGGAGCAATGCAGAGTTTAGCAGGCCCCTGTGCAAGGATGACAAGCAAATCCAGGAAATGCTCCTTATTTTGAGACCCAGTTCAGCATAAAAAAAATCACTTGGTAATTTAAAAATATGCACCCCACTTTTTTTTTTATTGTAATCACCATTCTGTGCACTACATTACTGAAGCTCATTCTTCCTCTTGTACGGAATCTTTGTCCTCTTTCATACATATCCCTACCCCGTCCACCCTCCCTGCCCCAGCTTCTGGCAACCACCATGCTACTCTCTCCTTCATGAGCTTAACTTTTGTAGATTTCACATATAAGTGAGACCACCCAAGGTATTTTTCTTTCTGTAGTTTCATTCTTTCTCATGTGTGAGTCTGAATTTAAGGCTCCGTGTAACACTATTTGAAATACGAGTAAAGGTACCTTTTCTTGATACCCAATTCTCCTTCACCACTCCTTTTGAAACTGTGCACTAATACCTCTAGGGCTATGCATTTTTTATGGAACCTAAAATAAGTTTGATTCAAGGTGTGTAAGTATGGTTGGGTATTCAGAAGAGGAAATAAATTTGAACATACTAACACTCCCACCCAGAAGTTATTATTAAAGTTGGAAATTTCTCCTCTGAGACAGAAAATAATCTGGGAACTGGGGGGCAAAGAAAAGGTGAAGTTTTCTTTTAGAAAATGCTAGTAGTTAGCAGTAGTAGGTACTCAGAATATCTTTCCCTTTTACTGTGGCAAAAGCAAACCAAAGATACATGAGAAAACACTTGAAAATGTTTGTCCCTTGTTGGTTCAACCATCTCTCTGGATTTTCTCTTTGCAACTAGAGGAAGACGCCAAATGTATGTTCTGCATACCAAGAAGGAATAATTTGCACACAATGTTTGTCCTATGTTAAAGATGATCCACTCTGTGTTATGAATAGTGAAGAGAAAATATCCTAGATGTTAGTGGCAGTCCATGAGAGAATGACCTGTCTCCTGGGATCACTTTCCTTATTATGGGGAAATCACAAGATCTCTGCAATAGACCAGAAATAGGCTTCTGCAGTTCCATCCCTGCAATTGCAACATTACTGAACTCAGCTATGATTTAGGGGGATGTCTTCACAGAACAAAAATCTCTTCTGCTCTGAGCTCCCTTCAGAATCATCCCCACGTCACTGTCCCCCTACCATGTTATCTCACTCAGTGTAGCATATCTCAAGTGCCTTCATTGACTGGAAATTCATTTCATACTGATGCAGTTCATGACACTTAATGATGGTTGTGACAGTTAAAGTTCTCCTCTAGATTTAGCCAAAATAAACTGTTGATTCTACTCACTGCTTTGCATTCTTCTTGGGAAATGTCTCTTCCTGACTGGGACTAAGTGTTTAGAAATAGGGACCACTTTTAAGTTGTTTATCTCAGGCATTTTGTCATAGCAACAGAAAATGATTAATGCAGATATAGAAATGGGAAATCGTGAGATGTGTCTGGGAGACTACAGAGACTAGCCTGCAATAATGAAGATTTATATGAGAAAGTAGTGGAGACTGAGGCTGGAATCTGTGTCCTGGCTGCAGAAGTCACTACTTTCCCTCTGCATAGATTTTTATGTAGGGTGGGATGAATTGAAGCAATCAAACCAGTGGTTTGGATTGAATGAGGCAGAGCAATGTCCACTGAAGTGTCCTAAACTATCCTGATTGTGTAGAAGTGAGAATTTGAAATTGAAGAAATGAAGAGGTCCAAAAGAAAGGGAAGGAAGGTGCTGGAGTGAAAGACACTTAGAGGAGAAACAGCCACATTCTGTGACTTTTGAACAACAACTAATTCTTGAACTTTCCCTTTATAATTTGTACCTCTTTTAGGGAGAATGATCCCTGCTAGTTCCTAGGTATAAGCAAGCTAACTGAACATTATAATTTTCTTAACTAGAAGGAAATAATTGACCTACTTGTTTAGCAGCAAAATATTTTCAGCATAGACAGGTCTGTATGGAGGATTATAGTCTTGTATTAGTTTTATTTTGGTCATCAAAATACAGATAAAAATACAAGCTTGCCAAAAGATTGAACTGAATGTAAGTAACTTCAAACCATTGCCTGCAACATACCGCTAAAAAAATCCTCATATTATATAGATGCATTAACATTTTCTTCTTTGCTCCTCAAAGAATTGCTCACTATCTTTCAGTTAATTAGGGCTCTGCTATTGTTTGGTACCAGTCCTTCAAGGTTTAGAAGCATGAGGTTCATGTTTAAAATGTGTGGTTCATGTTTAACCTTGTCAGGTTTTAGATGAAAAGGAGACTTCAGAAAACACTGGTGTGTAAACAACTGAAACTCAGCCTTCAAGGGAAAAAAAATCGAGACTGAAAGAGCTGTCAAGCTGGGAGAGTCTTAAGAAGAATCTCTGCATAATGGCTTATAATGTTATCTTTCCCCAAGGACCCAAGAAATGGAAAATATATTAGTTTTTTCTCTCTGAGTAGCTTTTGGCAACAAACCATAAATGCACTTCATTAAAAACATCTTGGTGTCTCAAACCCATCGGCTAGAATATGTAATACATATGTTGAGGGTCTAATGGGGCTGTATGTGGGAGTGATCCCTGGGAGACCCCAAGAGAAAAAGGCTTATAGAAACAGATTTTCCTTAGAAGGGAGAATAGCAGAGCAAAGGATGGGAATGGAGAGGGAGGGAGGAGAGGCGGTAACAGGGAACAAAATCTACCAAATTATGTACACGTACAAAACAACAAATCATATGCATATATATATATATATAAATAAATTATACTAATATAAGTAATAACAATAGAAGGACGTTTAGTAGAGTAAATACATCAGGGACAGGGAGGAGGGGAGGGAAAGAAAAGGTACCAGGGATCAAATTATGATCGAATTATGTACATGTATTAATATGGCATAATGAAGTCTACAATTATGTAATGCATCAAGAAAAAAAAGAAAGAACCAGTTTAAGTACTTAGAAAAAAGAAAGAAAGAAACAGACTTTCCTGCTTCCTTGAAAATCCAGTGAGAGTCACTCAACTGCCATGATCTTGATTTCTATTTCTTACTCTCTTCTCTGCTCTCCCTGCAATTCTCCTCCATGTCAATGGGGGAAATATTTCCTATCTTAGTTTGGAATTATGGAGTCTTCGGTGCCCTTTATTTCCATACCCTGGTATGATCTTTGAAGTGGAGCTCTGGGTCTGTGCCAGAGAGCAGGTATGGTATGGGGAGAGCCTGCGCAGGTTGAGAATGATTAGGGAAGATTTTCCACTATCATAGTCAAAGGAAGAATATCATTAACTTCTTCAAATTTCCCCAGCTAGTAAGTGGAAGAATTAAGGATTGAAGCCAGCAGATTATCTCACCTATGGCAGAAGCTGTTGATGCCTCATTTTCATCTTCTGTGATCTGATATCCAGTGTCCTGATTGGGAATATTCAGGGGAGCACTTTGGTAAGGGGAGTTCTGGACACAGCCCATGACAGATAGAGGGAGGAAGGGTGTAATTTGGGATTCCTCTACCCTCTGTGTTGGAAGGGTCTGAGGCTCACACTGTGGTAACTGAGTTGGTAATGCCTACTTTGTTGGTTATCTTCCTTGTATTATTCCTCCCCCTACTGTGAGTGCATCTTAAAATCAACTTTTATATATATATATATATATATATATATATATATATATAGCTTGATTCATTGTACCTTTGCAGAGAAACCCAAACAAGGAAACAGGGTAAACCCAGACTGAAAAGCATGATGGAAAATCGCCTGTATAATAGGTACACTTATCCCTGGGATCCTTCAATGTCTTTTCTTCATCTTTCTTCTTCCTCCTGGAGCCTTTGTCTCCACCCTAAAGTGACTACATCTTCTGCTTTTAGGTGCTTCCTCTTTCTCATTTCTCTCCTGAACTAATAAAATTCTAACTTTCTTTACTGAAGTATTAGAAAGACTAACAAGATTAAAGTAAATCAACCTGACACATGAGCTACTAAACGCTTTTCACTCTGACAAATAAATTTGTGTTTCAAAATAACCCGTCTTTTATCCAAAAGAATCTCTAAGGAATGCTGGATCAGGGATTTAAGATTCAATAGAACCAAATATTTTCAGTGTATAACAATCATTGAATTTACTGAGGAAGGGGACAGAACTTCTTGAAGAAGCTGGGTGAAACATTGCCAAGGAAATAACACAGGAGCAGGGCTTTGCAAAATAGTGAACAAAATTGGTTCATAAAGAGAGGGTATGGGATTTCCAGTAGATGCAGTCTATTTTTTCAAACAAATTAATTTAGAAAGAATTTTAGATTTAATTCCTTTTTTTTTTTTTGTCAATCTTTTTGCTGCTATGACCAAAAGACTTGATAAGAACAATTAGAGGAGGAAAAGTTTGTTTGGGACCCGTGGTTTCAGAGGTCTCAGTCCATTGAAGGCCAACTTCATTTCTCCGGGCTCAAGATGAGGCAGAACAAAATTGTGGAAGAGTGTGGTGGAGGAAAGCAACTCAGAGTGGGGAGATATTGAGAGAGAGAGAGAGAGAGAGAGAGAGAGAGAGAGAGAGAGAGAGAGACTGCATTATGCTCCAAAACAAAACAACAACAACAAAAATACAAACCCTAAAAGCATATCCCCAGGGACCCACCTCCTCCAGCCACTCCCTATCTGCCTAAAGTTACCATTCAGTGAACCCCTATCAGGAAATTAATTTACTGATTGAGTTATGGCTCTCATAACCCAATTATTTCACCTCTAAATCTTCTTGCATGGTCTCACCTGAGCTTTTATGAGACATATATCTAAACATAACAGTTTAAATGATAATACAGAAAGTCTGGCATATTTTTCATCCAGTTTTCCCTAATGCTAATGTGTTATTTCCATGATGCATATATGAACACTAGTATAATAATATAGGTCAAGCATTCCTAATCTGAAAATCTGAAATCCTGAACACTCCTATATCTGAAACTCTCTGAGCATTAGCATGATACCCCACGATGCTTGATATCATGTGATAAGTTGCTGTCAAAACACAGGAACACTAAAAATATTGTATAAAATTAACTTCAGT